TTTTTTTTTAAGGTAGCTCAGAGACTTGATTGGAAGTCCTATCCCCAAGACAGAGCAATTTGATTGTATGATTGAGAATGATTTAAACCAGTAAATGTTCTCTGTTCTAGGAATCGTTGCTGAGCACTTGGGTTATCCAACGGCATCATAAATGGGTAAGTTACACGTTCTGATCTTTTCCATGCTGCTACTTGATTGGCAAAACCAAACTGCTGCTGCATCAGGAGTCTGTATATGTTGGTTATAAAGTGATTTGTTAACACTGCCTAGACGGTGTAACTGTGGTGGCGGCGTGCGGGGAGTTTGTTAGTGGGATGTATTTTGATAGGTTATTTCTTATTTCACCATTTTAATTCTACTTATACCTTGTTTTAGTGTTTACTAAGTGAATCTGCTCGCTTTCCCTCAGTTCTGTTTTCCGCACACACATCTACACCTCCGGTCTCGTAATGCAAACACACCGGCTTACACCTCTGTCTGTTTCTCTCTCCCTGTATGTGTCTGCTCCGCTGACTTTCTCCATCAGCAGTACATTTTAAAATTCTTTGGATTTTTCCACCCGCGACTCTGTTTTAACAGCTGCTTGTACACTGCGTGTGGAGGAAGCCTGTTAATGATGTAGACACTTATAAAAGCTAAATTAAAAACGGTTAACTGCGCTGTTATAATCTCACGGCAAACACTGTCCAGCATCTCCAGAAGCAGGCGCCATGCGCAGAAAGCAACGTGGGTTTGTTTGGGTCAATAACAACACGGCGGAAGACAGCGCTGCGGAGATTTTTCAGTCACTCCGGTCGTATTTTAGTTTTTATGAGATTGCTGAGGGAAACTTGATTGACGAAAAAACCTTATAGTGAACGCAGGGTGAGTTAACTTTTAGCTTTGGTTTGTCTCTCTGACTTGCTAACAGCGTGTAAACTGAAGCTCTCAGTGTTGCTGCTCTTGTAAAAACGCTACACGTTGTTCTGCTGCTGTGTGTCAGCAGAGTCCATTCGTCCACTGCACATGAATCTGTGTAATTTAGCTTTGTAATTGTGATTGTCGTTGACAACCTTGTTTTGTTGGCTTTAGTCATTTTGTTATATACAGATGTTTCTTTGTTGTAGCTTCCTTGTGTCAGCTACTGGCAGTGTGTAGGAGTGAGAAGCCCTTTTTGTTTGCACCCTTTTTCTCCTGTTTTTGAGATTAGAAGCCTGGTTTAGAGTCTTTTCTTTACTTTCTGTTTTAGGTTTATTAGATTGTTTTGGTTGTTGTTTTGGGCACTGCTCATCTCTGAAGCTAATGAAACTGCTAAATTGTATTTCCTGTGTTCTGGCCTTGTTTGGGAATGGGAAGAGTGGGAAGCCACACTTTTATGTTGTGTCCAGGATACCCCTAGACCTTGGGACGTAACGCACGATACGCAGTTTAGTCAACCAACCAGCATATCTAGAAACGCTACAGACTCCTCATTTTTTTGGCTCATTGCAGTTACTATCACTGTCTTCTAAAGACTTTTTTTTTTTCAAGAATTGTCCACGGGGTCATTGTATTACCTATATAATATAAAACATAAAATCTTGATAATGCACACTTAGATGATTTTCATTTGTTTACAGAAGGTATTTGCTGTTTTATTTTTTATGCAAACAAAATGGCAATTGTATTTGTAGTTTTCAATATAAAACTTGTTGAAATGGTTTCAGTGTGTGTATCAGTACATTTTAATATTTTTCAGCACATTTTTAGAATACCGTGATAATACTGATAACCGTGATAATTGTGGTCACTATAATCGTGATATAAAATTTTCATACCGTTTCATCCCCCCTACTCACGATCCATTTTGATGGTCAGATCTAAAAAATTGCTTTTAAGTGACAGCCTTTCTAATATCTTATGATTGTGGAATAAAGAAGATTCCACTGATTTTACCAGCACACGTTTTGGCTTTCATATATTTTCTAAATGATTGTGCACAGAGTCACAAACAAATTGATTGACACCCAGAATTTGTTAATTTACAACACTGTGTGCAGCGGTGGTTTGCTAATTGCTCACTGACTTTGAAACTCAACAATTTAACACCTTATGGGAGACGGCGTTCAAGTTCACGTCTGAAAAGCCAGTGTGTCAGATAATTGCTACATCTCTGCAGTGCTTAGTGCTACTTGGCAGCAGATAGCAATTATTCATAGCAGCGGATCACCTCAAACCAAACTGTGAAAATTCATGCTACAGCATTGTCACATATTATTTAACCATTTTCATTTTACTGTAATAATTTTGAGATTTGGGTATGAGCCACTGGTCTTTTTATCTCTCTGGTTTCCATATATCCACATATAGATGACGAAAGAGCAGCATTTCTTCACAAATCTACTAGAAACGGGACAGCTGTCGACCCCACAGCACAGAATCGTTCAAAAGAACGTGCAGTGGATTGAATCGAGGGCATTACATTGATTTAAATCAATAAAATACAATACATTGGTACACCTCTACCTCAAATCTATTTGTGGCTAATGAGGATTAAAAGGATTTTGCACTCAAGCTCCCCATCCAATGCTACACCAGGCAGCAGGATTTCTTTGTCACTATATGCTGGTTACAGGACTCCGAGAAGTGTGTAATCCAGTACTACTCTGCTCCTGTGGAGTGTGTGCTCACAAATACTCCAGCCTCCACTCAGAACAACCACACACACACACAAGCTATTGTGTCAAACCTTCAAATGTTGTTTTATGTAGATTTGTTAATGATATTTTGTAAAAGAGATCTTAAAGATCTAAAAATGCTTTAAAATTGAAACTGTGTAGAAGCGATCAACATTCTTAGTAATTAAAATGTGTAAATCGCTCATCTGTTCACCTATCACTGACTTTCAGAGAGGTTTCCAGGTTTGTAGCATTTATTTTTACTGATAGTTCAAATGGTTGTTGACACAGAGGGCGTTATCTGTAAAGCTGGTTGTAAAAGAATGAAACGGACTTATTGGAAGTAATGAGCTGAACAAGTGAATTGCATTGTGGGTAATGTAGAGGCCATGTTTTGACAAGGAAGAAGAATGTGTGGAATAAAAAAAGTATATGTCGTAAGATATGCCAGAGACGTTAATACTCACTATATCAGTAATAATGATTCTTGTTACATGTTTTGCCTTTTACCTCCACCCAGGCATGATCTGTATCGAGCTTCTGGGAAGTTTGAGCTCCTAGATCGCATCCTGCCAAAGCTACATGCCACTAACCACAGAGTCCTGTTATTCTGCCAAATGACCTCACTCATGACGATCATGGAGGACTATTTCAGCTACCGCAACTTTCAGTATCTGCGTCTTGATGGTGAGTTCACAACTCTACTTATGTTTAAACATTCTGTGATTATCAGGTGAAATACGAAAATTAATATAAAGAAAAATCGAATCATTCCTTTACTGTACTCAGTTTTGTCCACCTCAGCCTACTAGTGTTCCAGCGCTGCTCTCTTCACTGACACTTAGGCTCTACAGAGTGAGCATTTCACTGCATATGCAAGTGATAATTAGTGCGTGAGTGACTGTGAAAAATGACATGGGTGCACTGGTGAGACTGACTGTGTTCTGATACCCGGTTTAATCTTAGACGGATTTGCTTAACTGTGGCAGTAACACATTTATCGTGTAAGAGAGCAGTGTCCAAAACATTCATTCAGCAGCTTCCCATTTTTAGCCTGATCGTGACTTTTACCGTTTAAAATGCTAACTAATGTTAAATCTGTGAGTAACTTGATAACAGACCACATTTAAACGTGGTTGTTGGCTGTTGCTTTCTGCAAGCCCGTGTCTGTACTCAGCCAAAGATCTGTCATCTGTCAATGACGGAGAATAGTTTGTTAACGCAATCCCTGCCGCCATCTACTGGAAAGGCTTGGTCTTCTCTGAACTTGTGTGACACAAATTGGTGGAGATTCACAAATATATTTCCACTGAAAAATGCTAAATTGACATACACATGATATCATACTAGTTGTAAATCAGAGGCATAGATACAGATTTATTGATACAAATCACTCAATCACATACAGATTTAGACTTGAATACATATAAGACTTACTAATCCCATATGATACCTCTTCTCTCAGTCATATATCAATAATTTAAGCTTATCAGTTTAATAGTTTTGAACCAAGACATCCAGTATTTGGATCAAATTATGTCAGATTTAGTAGTGCTTTCACTGTTATTTCCGTGTGTCAGATTCATATTTAATCAACATTTAGGTAATTGTTTGTATCTGACTCTGAATCAGCAAATACCCAGTGTTAAATGACTGATATCCGGTTCAGGTAAAAATAAATAAATAAATAAAAAAACTTGATCTGGAAAATCCCTAATAATGATATGATACATAATGTGTGATAGAGAAAATAATTCCTGTGTAGCGAGGGAAATGCCACTCTATCGTATATTATTGCCTCCATGTCAGAGGAGGAGAATTTAAAGCTGTCCAAGCAGCCTTATCAAACCTTACAGTGTCAATGTGGTGTGTAAAACCCAAAGTATGGTCAATGTAATGCATCAACACACAATGTATTTGTGTATCAAGTGGAAAAATACTACTATAATACAAAGAATTGCTACTTTCATCCAAGTAGTCCCTACAACAAGACACATGCACATAATCTCTTGTAATCCCTTTGTGTATTTAAAAGATTACGTGTCTCTTGCTGCATTGTTCCTTGACTGCTATGTGTGAGTGACTGATGAAGAAGATGTGTTTTCCATAGCAGTGTTAGCAGCACATAGTGCTGTATGTTTTGTTTTGAGCAAACTGGACCTGTACCAAAGGTTCAGCCTCACGCCGACGTGCAATAACTCACAGTTTAGTGTGTTATGAGCTTTTTGGATGGTAATTCAGGATTTTCATAGAATCTTATAAAATGCCAAGTGAAAGGCACATAGTCAGACAAACAGTTTGTTATTCTACTTTGAGGTGAAAATCTTTTATTCACATAATTTAGTATTTTGGTCTACTACCAAAGGAAGAATCATCAGATCAAAAAGTATCATTTTGTTAATCAGCTTTTATACTATCCACATAGCACTTTGAGAAAGATATTAAATTTAGAGACTGATGCAGCTGTGCACTGTGAATCTCCTTAGCATATTTTAATCAGACATGGAATGGTTAGGATCGTTTCATCACATTTTGAACCCTGCTCAGTTACAGCCACTACATGCTCTTTTCAGACACCTCTGAAACAGTTTAATTGGTTGAAGATGAGGCACAGTACACAGGTGACATTTTTACTTTCCTGCAAACAATACACTTTGCAGCAGAAGAACAAGAAGAAGTTCAAGCAGACTTTCCAAAGTTAACTTCACAGACTGCATTTTTAAAAATGATCATGTTTGCTGTTTCAGGAACCACCAAGTCTGAGGACCGAGCTTTACTGCTGAAGAAATTTAATGAGGAAGGATCTCAGTACTTCATCTTCCTGCTCAGCACCAGAGCGGGTGGCCTCGGCCTTAACCTGCAGGCTGCCGATACTGTTGTCATCTTTGACAGTGACTGGAACCCACACCAGGTACGTTCATCAGTAGATTATGTTATCATAATCTGTAAGAACAGTACTGGTGCTCACAGTGTGAATGCATGATTATAGAAAGTGTTCAGTATGCTGTTTATAGTGTTGGCAGTTCTTGTTGAGATAAGCAGATTTAAAGGCATATTTACTGAAGAGTTGCGTCACTTTTTACTGCAGACCGACCAATGCTGCACTGTTTTTGCGGACACACACGAATGTTGTGAGACTAATGCCAGGTCAAAACAGCACGTGAAAGAGAAACACAAATTCAAATGATGAATTATAAAGTTACCTTTTCAGAGCTCTCTGCTCAGCACCACAACACAAGAGCAGCAGCAATGGAACACCTGTTATTATTTCCTGACTTCCAGTCCAATGGAGCAATTTCATTTACGATTGAAGCAGCCAGTGATACTTTTTGTTGTTTACAGAAATAATCTAGTCCAAGAGTTTAAAAGTGTTTTTCCTCCCAAATATCTCCCACACTTATTTGTATTAAGTTATTCAATCAATAATATTTCTGTTGAGCTGACAACATCAAGCTATTTAAACTTCCTTGTGGCCCGTGGCCCATCACTTTTAGTTTTTGCTCAGCACCGTGAGCCTTTATCAGTGGTCGTTAAGAACACTGAATTGAATTTGCAGAGATAGCACAAACAGACTGGCTGCTTGCTGTTAGTCTAGCAAATAAGTGATTTACTCATTTTGTGTGGTATCTCTTCAGTTTTTGTCCCCACCTTTTATTTTTCTACAACCAAAGATGGTCTAACCACACCTGTGCAACGCAAAGCAATAAAACAAAATCTAAACTCTACATTGCCCTTAACAAGATTTTAGCAAATACACTGCTCAAAAAAATGAAGGGAACACTTAAAAGACACATCAGATCTCGGTGAACAAAACACAGTTCAAGATCTTTACTGTACATTGTATAATTCGTTCAGAACAAAATTACTTAACAACAGTCAAAGGAAACCAAAGTCACCAACTGACTATGGCCTGGATACGTGATTTTCATCACTGCAGGCCATAATGTGACTCCATAGTGTCTATGACCCCCACGTGCCTGTATGCACTGCTGATAACGTCTGGGCATGCTGCTGATGAGACAGCTGATGGTGTCCTGGGGAATCTCCTCCCAGACCTGGATCAGCAAGCAGGGCATCAGTGAGCTCCTGGGGAGTCTGTGGCACTACTTGGGGGCGTGTGTTCCACCGATACATAATGTCTCAGAGGTTCTCTAGTGGATTGTGGTCTGGTTGCAGAATGTACCTGCATGTGTTAACAGATATGATGTGAGTTGACACGACACATTTGACAAGTCATTCTCCGGTATCTGCTTGGTGTGTGAGTGCTCTCACTGGCAGTAAATAAAATCTAAGCAAATATTATCTAAGCAATGTTTAACAATAAGGCCCAAAGACTAAACAGCCACCTTTAAAACAGATGTGGCTCTTAATTATTTATCTACAATAGACAGTTACTCTGGCTCTTGGTGGGTGTTAATTAATTTCCTATTTCATGATGAGGCAACTGAAATGATGTAATGTTTCTCTTTGCTGCTTCCAGGACCTTCAGGCTCAGGACCGGGCTCACCGCATCGGTCAGCAGAATGAGGTGCGTGTGCTTCGTCTCTGTACCGTCAACAGTGTGGAGGAGAAAATCTTGGCAGCTGCCAAATACAAACTCAACGTGGATCAGAAGGTCATCCAGGCAGGCATGTTCGACCAGAAGTCCTCGAGCCACGAGCGTCGTGTCTTCCTCCAGGCCATTTTAGAGCATGAGGAGCAGAATGAGGTACTGTCTGAGTTTGTAACTTATGTTTAAATTTTTATTTTTTACTATTTATCTTAGAAGAAACATCATCTCAAGACTAAGATGCAGTATTTGTGCTTCATCAGGCATTTTTATTTAATACACTTAGAAGGCCCTGAATATATTTTTCTTTTCCTTTTAGTTAAATTATGCATGCTGGTTTTGATTAAATGACTGCATGCCCACAAACAGCTGCTTAGATATGATCAGCGAGCTAACCATCCTTCATTTATAACATTACATGGTGTTGTAATGCATTCTCAGCTATTTAATTGGTATGTCATAAAATCTGTCATCATTTTATTTTGATGTTTTTTAAATGTAACTCTAGGAAGAAGATGAGGTGCCCGATGACGAAACCCTTAACCAGATGATAGCCCGCAATGAAGATGAATTTGAGCTCTTCATGGTAAGAAAAGCACAACTTTTTTGTGAGAACTAATTGACAGTTACATTCTTAAAATATGAATTTGCCAAAAGAGGAGAAGCTGACAGCTGCCCCCCCCCCCCCCGATAATTGTTGGTTGTCCTTTATGTCGAGACCATTATTCTGGTTAAGTGTCATTATTTGTTCTGGCATCTTCAGTCTTGGCAACAACTGTCAGGCACTAGCCAGGCGCTTCTTCTTGCTTTGCAAATGACTGAATTGCCATGGATACAGGACTAGTCACCGTGTCATTTCCAGTGCCACAACTTATTTTACACTAAACTGTTTGTGACATCTGTGTTTCAAATGCGTAGTACAGTTGTTCGGCCTCTTGGCTCAACTAGTTAGTTAGTTTTGCGAAACACCAGCTGAATTTCAAAATCCCTTGAGTAATGCTTGTATTTAAAAACACTACACAATCATGCTTTACTTGTTTCTGGTGGTTTTGTCACATGTTTTGTGCAAGATATCAGTTATTCATAAGCATGTTGATACAACTACCACCAAGTTGGTAACTTCTAAAAGGGAAAAACTGCTGTTATACCATTAGTGAGTATAATTCTGTGACATTGTATGATTTACTTCTACCCCGGCATGTGTGACTATTTAGTTGTTACTTAGTGGTATGTTGTAACGTTTCTCCTTGGTTTCCTTCCATGCTTTCATTTAAGTAATGCATAAATCTCAACTTAATAATCATTTATGTTATAACTAGGCCAAGTTTGAACTTACACACAGCTGGTCCATCATGCTGGCTTGTAACTCCAGTTATAATAATAATAATAGAATTAAAGCACAATGTGGCCTGATCATGTACGATTAATCCATCTTGTGATGCGGTGGTGATATCAACAGCTGCTGTTAACCCCTCAATTCCTGTAAAAATTCTGCCTTAGGTATAAAATATGGGAACCAAGGATCGTATCTGCTATTTGAGCTGATAGGATTTTCCTGCTTTTCTCCTCTGTAGCGCATGGACATGGACCGACGCCGGGAGCACGCCAGGAACCCAAAGCGTAAGCCTCGTCTAATGGAAGAGGACGAGTTGCCATCTTGGATCATCAAAGACGACGCGGAGGTGGAACGGCTCACATATGAAGAGGAGGAGGAGAAGCTGTTCGGCCGAGGATCACGCTGTCGTCGGGACGTGGACTACAGTGACACGCTGACCGAAAAACAGTGGCTACGGGTATACAAGTCAATCTGTGACATTAAAAATGGTGATAAATGTAACTGCTGTACAACTATGAAATTGGTTAACAACCTAATTTGTATTTATTGAACTACTAATTCAACTAATCTATAGTGTTATTATTATAGACTGGCCCTAATAGAAATGAAAAAGCAAGTACACTATTACATAAAATACTAATACAATAAAATGACAATAGCCTTCATATAGCAAAATTATATAATTTATATATTAAAATACCAACAGTAAACTATTAGATTAAAATAGAACTTTTTATCTCATGTTATAATATTACACTAATACACTCAATAAAACTAGTTTCTCCTCCATGTTGTAGAAAGAGCCTCTGCAGATTTCCACTGCCAGTATGTGCTCCTTCTAGCCTTCTCCTGAGAGTAACACATTCCCCTCGTTTTACTAAAGTTATTGTAATACTGTTCAGTAGTCTTATTTTCATTAGGTCGGGCTGGGTGCTGCTGGTGAATCATGAATCCGCCCTGTTCAAAAACTACACCAGCACCAATCACAGTAAAGTTTTTGTGAATAGTGATCAGTATTTTAAAAGCTGTGTCAAATTTTCAACACATCTGTTTCAACATTTTTTTCAAAATATTAAGGCCGATGCCGAGGTGTACACATACAAGGGTCTTCACTTCCATAGTCCTCCAATGGTTTCATACCATAGTTGAACACAAGGAGAAGGAGCACACACGTAGTATAAATATGTGTATAATAAATAGTTTGTTACACTCTTTGCTGTGCTCCAAATTTTTTTCATTTAGGAGCACATGTGCTCCTTGGGAAAAAGGTTAGCGTAGAGACCTGGAAAAGTTTGTTTCTTTTTCACTACCTCACTCAGCACCACAGTAGTTAATCATAGCAATCCTGTGTAATATATTGAATGACTGAGTTGCATAAACTCAATTTGGGTAATTAAAGATATAAAATGTCTGTTGGAGCGCCACACTTGTTTAGTCATTCAGTCGAGTAATCTGTAAGGTCACATTGTTTATATTTAAGACTGGCATTAACCTGGAGTTTTATTTATTTTTTATGAAGCAAAGTAACAAATTTCTTTTGTATTTTGTTTGTTTATGCTCACACTGCAAAATGTGAATCAGGCTTTTTACACATAAGTAGATTGTTAATTTTTCTTTCTTTCAATCCAAAGACCAAAATCTGCAACTCCATTTTATTGACTCAGGCTAAATAAACGTTGAGACTGAGGAATATGTTGGAAGCATTAGCTGTATTTCAGAGACGCTCTAATTAAAAGAAGAAAAATGTTTAGACACCTGCAGGCACTGCTGAAGACATTTAATGTATGCTAGTGAGCATGTCTACAGAGAAAAAAGAATACTGCAATTAGTGAAAGTACTTACTGCTGTCAAATCATTTGTTTTTGTGTTGCCAAGGGAATTGTAAATCTGATGACAGAGATGGTTAGTGAAAATTATACATTGATAGACAATGATCCTTCAATTCCACATCATATGTGGGCAAGTTGAAGCGACTGAGGATTAACCCAGTCTTTGCCCTGGCTCCTTTCAACTCCAGGCTATTGAGGATGGGAACCTGGAAGAGATGGAGGAGGAGATCCGGCTGAAAAAGCGCAAACGCAAGAGACGTCAGGACAAGGACTCATCGAGCAGAGATGACGGCGGCACCAAGGCCAAGAAGAAACGTGGACGTCCACCAGCTGAGAAACTCTCCCCCAACCCCCCCAAACTCACCAAGCAAATGAACACCATCATCGATACGGTCATCAACTACAGAGATGGGTAAGGAGATGTATTTACACATGGGGTTAAATCAGACATCCTTCTTGTTAAAGGTAGGATTTAAAGGTATCTGTTGTACTAGACTGCGTCAGTTTTAGCTTTAGCTTAGCATTAGTTTTAGCTTGCAGGACCAAAAATATGGTGACATGCATCTTTCACTACAGTATAGATGAGGAGTAACACCCACTTTTGGCCTGGGGTGGATGTGTAGACCATTTCGAGTTGTAGGTGGTCAAGTTGACAAGCCCCATGGCTGTAGCACCTCATTTTTAAACCTGCGTGTAGCACTGTAATGTACTTAAAAGATACATTTTTTTAAGTGAATTTCCAAGAAATCTGACCAGGAGATCCCATAGAACCATTTTTTTGTTGAATAGTCAGAAAATGCCATTAAAGTAAAGAGTATATTCTACAAAACATTTCACCAAAGTAGTCCAGTTTTAACCAACAGCTCAGCACCTTTGCTCCACTGTGCTGTTCAGCTGCTTCAACAGCAAACTGAGACTTGAATAAAAACGGAACAAGTAAGGGCTGCACGATTAATGTAATTCCTGGGCCGGCAGTGGTTCAGTCTGTAAGGATTAGGCTGGGAACCGGAGGGTCTCTGTGTGCGCTGCAGTCTGTGTGCAGCATGTGTCCTTAAAAACAGCCTACGTGCAATGAGAAAAATATTTTATGAGCAGTGTGTCCCCTTCCCCGCCCTGCCGCTAATCGTTCCAAACGTAGTCTGACTCGCCACCGCTCTCTGTGACAGAGACAGAGCGACATCATCAGCAGCTGAAGCAGTAAGACAGAAGAAAACAGGGAGAAGATAAGGAAGGTTTGGGTTTAGCTAGCAGACCCTTTATTGTTAGCTGTATATTACAAATCATTAAATGTTGACCAAACTGATTATTGACAAGTTACTTAGCATTAAATAAAGACACCAGTGTAGAGCATTTTGTTTGCACAAAGATGTGATGAATAAAAACAACCTCCAAAATCAAACAGCTATAACTGGTTTTAATACTCAACTAGTGGTAAAAAGTACACTATTATATGAAATTCTAATGAATGTAGTATTTAATATATTATTGTTATACTAACAGTAAACTAACTAAACATTATACTCTATATTTAATACACTCCTCCAGGTTTTGGATAGAGACTCTGCATTAGACAGATGTATTTTGAGCCTGTGCCAATATGCCTCCTCCATAGAGCAACAAGCTCCCCTTGTTCTGTTTTACTAGTTATTGTTATAAATATTGTTTAACTTTGTTCAAGTTGAGAAATACACAATTCTTTCACGCATTCCTTGAAAATTAAGAAAGTAGACTCAGTACCATTTGTTCCATTATAATTGAATCGCAAATTGCAATGTTGTCCCCAATAATCGCAGTATGACTTTTTCTTCAAATCAATTTTATGTTTATAAATAATATAATAATAATAATAATAATAATAATAATAATAATAATAATCCTTATTTGTAGAGCACTTTTCAAAAACAAGTTACAAAGTGCTTTAACAAGTGTAAAGAATAATACAAAAAAAGATAAAATAAAGTCAAATAAGATTGGGAAAAGCTCTCCTATAAAAGTATGTTTTAAGAAGGGACTTAAAAGAGTTCACTGACTCAGCCGACCTGATTTCCTCGGGCAGGCTGTTCCAGAGCCTCGGGGCCCTGACTGCAAACGCTCTGTCCGCTTTAGTTTTCAGTCGAGATTCTGGAACAGACAACAGACCTCTGCCCGAGGATCTCAAGGTACGTGCTGGTGTGTATGGGACTAAAAGGTCAGAAATATAACAAGGCGAGAGGCCATGAAGAGCTTTAAAAGTGATCAATAGAATTTTAAAGTCAATTCTAAAACATACTGGGAGCCAGTGTAATGAAGCTAAAATAGGAGTAATGTGGTCATATCTCTTTGTTCTGGTTAAAAGCCTGGCAGCTGAGTTCTGGACAGTGTGGAGTCGATCAATAGATTTTTGGGTTAAACAGGTGAAAAGGCTGTTGCAATAATCCAGGCGTGATAAGATGAAGGCGTGTAAAATGGTCTCGGTGTCCTTAAAAGTTAACATAGATCGAATTTTAGCTATATTTCTAAGTTGATAAAAACATGATTGAACAAGCTTTGTGGTGTGCTGCTCGAAATTTAAATTACTATCAAACCAAACACCAAGGTTCTTTGCCACAGGCTTAATGTGATTTACTAGGGAACCAGCAGATGGCAGTATTTGATTTGCCATCTGCTGAGACCCGATGACCAGCTGGAGGAAATTATTTGACATCCATTTTTTAACTTCACAAAGGCAGTTGTTAAGTGAACTCAGCATTCCAGGGTCTGTGGATCTGACGGGCAAGTATATTTGTGTGTCATCAGCATAAATATGAAAAGAAATGCCATGTTTATGGATAATATGTCCAAGGGGAAGCAGATACAAGGAAAACAAAATGGGTCCTAAGACCGACCCCTGAGGCACACCATATTTAACTGGACAGAACGAGGACACATAGTTGTTTACAGACACGCAAAACTTCCTATTTGACAGGTAGGATGAAAACCATTCTAGGGCAGTACCAGAGATCCCCACCCAGTGCCTCAGTCTGTCTAACATGATGTTGTGATCAATGGTGTCAAAAGCAGCGCTAAGGTCCAGGAGTACAAGGACTGAGCACATACCTTCATCAGCAGACATTAAAAGGTCATTGGTGACTTTAAGCAGGGCAGTCTCAGTGCTGTGGTACTTCCTAAAACCAGACTGAAACTTTTCAAATAATTTGTTATTTTCCAGCACAGTGAGCAGCTGTTTGGACACAATTCTTTCTAGAATCTTTGCAATAAAAGGCAGTCTTGAAATTGGTCTAAAATTATGTATGTAATTATATGTAAATAACAAGTAATTCCTGTTGGGTTTAATCATCTATTCCACGTACAATGTATCGCTGCTTCCAACCTCCACAGTCTCATGTTATTTCTTCACAAAGCTTGTTTCATGACCAATTCCAGACTAGTGTTTTAAGACTGAATAACTTCCACATTCACAGACCTTCCATCTTATCGACGACTGCCGGTAATTAACCCAAACATCTTCACTTTCTCTGTCAGTGTAAAAGTGTTCAGTTCCTACTCTGCAGTGATGGACGAGTGTTGTCCCCTGTGTCTCCTATGCACCTTAATCACTATATGAACAGACTTTAGAAAGGTTAGTTTAGTTGGAACATATTTGTATCGTAAACTGGAGCAAAAGGTATACATCCACTCCCATTAAGGCCCATTCTGTTCTTGTGGTGCTATATCTAAAAAAAAAATGTACTTGTGACAAAGAACCAAATAATTCATTTATTGAAAGCACGGCTTTCTCCCTGGTCAGCAGGGTAAAAATGAACTGACATGAAGTGCTGTCTTTGGAACAGTACAACAGTACAGTGTGATAAACATCTGTGGATTCTTTCAGTCCAGCTGTCCTGACAGTCTGTGTGTGTGTGTGTGTGTGTGTGTGTGTCTGTCTGTCTGTCTGTCTGTCTGTCTGTCTGTCTGTCTGTCTGTCTGTCTGTCTGTCTGTCTAATATTCACCTGTCCAAGAAAGAGCATGTCCATTGTGTTCCTGAAATATGCACTGAGAGACTACTATGCTGGATGTTTTCCAGGAAACTGCATACCTGCCTTTCCAGAAGTCAAATTCTTTCCTCTCCCAGCTGATGGTTGTTCATCCCAGAGCATCTCAATCATACTTTAGCTCTGGCACTTAACGAATCCCAAATTAGAATATGGTTTCTCCATCATACAAACTAATCATCCATGCTGCTTCAAGTCAAACTTGAGTGCAACTTATATTTGATTTAAGCCTCCTGTAATTTGATAAACTCATATCTCATCAGTGGAGCCGGGCAGAAGTCTCGGCTCCATTTCCTCCATAACCAGATTAAGGTGTAACTGTGTAGAGATCTCTTAATAAACATCAGTGTAATCTTAAACACAGTATGTCCCGATGAAATCCCTAGTTGTATTACCGTCTTTCTGTCACAAGCTATTAGAGGAAACCCCTCTTGTTCGAAGCCTTCGTGATCACATTTGTATTCATTCCAGCGTCTTTCACAGAAGTCAACAATTGGGTCTGTTCCCGGAGGGTCCTCCGTGGCAGGGAGGCATCACACGTAATACATCAAAGGTGTAAAAAACCCTTCTCGAGCCTACCATCCAGCTTTGAGGTTTCAGCACAGTTTACACGGTGGATGTAAGCTCACTGCACGTTCACAGCTCTGTCCATGTCCAAGTCACCTGAGATCTGCAGCTTTGAAATCAGGCTGAACCTTTAGGTGGTAGTCCAAGGGAAAGGCTAAAGTTTGGGTTTAATTTTTTTAAAGATATATTCAGGAATTTATTATTTTGATTTATACAAAACAGGTCAAAACCTGTAATAAAAAAAGCTTACTGGAACTTTGATAGTTAATTCTCTTTCCTCCTAAAGCTAATTACAAGTGAATCAAAACTCTGCTGATCTGTGTCCTTTTCTGTTTAATAAGTGGCGGGTAAAGGTCTTTAAGTAGTAAAGTAAAGTAAAGTAAAGTTTCTAAAATGGAAAGTGCAGGGACAGTTTATGGAAAAAAATCTCTGCTTCTGTTTACATATTCAGAGGTGTGGAGGATCCACATTGGTGTACACGTGTCTGAAAGACTTAATAGATGTGCCTTATATATTACAACTTACATATTGCATAATTGTAGGACACTGTTGTAGCTCTGTGTTTGTATATTTTAGTCAAAATCCTACTCGTATGAGCTTATTTGTTGTTACTTTTAGGGATGCAGCGATTACCGTATTTCTGATCACATGTTAATTTCTTTTAATGTAAACTTAACACTGTCCAAAATATCTTAGTAGAAGTCTGCTCACCCTCTCTCTCTTCCCAAATAACTACCATTTTACATTCCTCTCTCACCTCTGGTATTGTTCCCTCGTCTCTAAAATCAGCTGCAATAACTCCTATACTTAAGAAACCTGGTGCAGACCCCAACAATTTCAACAACTTCCGTCCTATTTCTAACCTACCTTTCTAAAATCCTTTAAAAAAACAGTCGCATATCAGGTCCATGCACACATGTCTGACAATAACCTCTATGAACAATTCCAATCAGGTTTCCATCCCTGCCATAGCACAGAAACAGCGCTGGTAAAAATCACCAATGATCTTCTCATGGCAGCTGATTCAGGACTACTAACTATTCTCATCCTCCCTGATCTGAGTGCAGCCTTTGACACCATCTCTCATAACATCCTACTTAACAGATTAGTCTGTATTGGTTTCACTGACACACCCTTGGACTGGTTTAAATCATATCTCTCTGGCTGCACTCAGAGCTATCCCCTGTCACTACCGGTGTTCCCCAGGGCTCTGTCCTGGGGCCCCTTCTGTTCATCATCTATCTGCTTCCTCTAGGACATATCTTTCGTAAATTTAACATCCATGCCCACTGCTATGCGGATGACACCCAGCTCTACCTGATTGATCTTCCATTTACGTAACATTAATCGCCTCCGACCATCTCTCTCACCCACTAGTACAGCCATTCTTGTTCACACACTGGTCACATCCCGCATTGATTATTGTAATTCTCTTCTCGTTGGTCTTCCTCTCAAATCCATACATAAACTTCAACTGGTTCAGAACTCTATTTCCCGTATCATCACCAGAACCCCTTCTATTAATCATATTACTCCTGTCCTTCCGCAGCTTCATTGGCTCCCAGTTAAATACCGCATTGATTACAAGACTCTGTTCCTGACCTTCAAGGCCATTTATAACCTTGCTCCTCAGTACTTCACTGACCTCCTTCATATTAACACCCCCACCCGTACTCTTATGTCATCTTCTTCTATTCACCTTACTGTACCTCCTGCTCGTTTGACCACCATGGGTCTGTCCCTCATCTAAGGAACTGTCTTCCACCAGACATCCGCAACACTGACTCACTTTCCATTTTTAAATCCTGCCTGAAAAACACATCTTTTTAATCTGGCATATCCCACGTGATCACTCTTTCTCAATCTTTGTTTCCAGTTGTTTTGTACCCTGATTTTATGAACTGGAATTATAGTTGTTAATTTTATCGATTATTGCGGTACTGTTTTATTATGTTTTGTGAGGTAACCTTGAGTGTTCAGAAAGGCGCCTATAAATAAAATGTATTATTATCTATAGAAAACTAACTTGATAGGAGAATGTGTGGTCCTCCGTGCAAACTCTGAGGCATGCGTACGCACAAACTGGAGAAATGAGAAACGGCGACTCACATGGCAGAAGGATGAAACGGTTTGAAATGAATAGGCCTACTATTGTGTAAAATAAATTTACCTCTGTATATTATAGGCTTAAAGCCTTTCTGAAAAAACAAACATCCGTTTAATTGATTTTCCCTGGAAAAAAACATCATGCAGCGCACACAAAAGAACCGTGATTTAGGATAATAAACACAAACGGAGATGTCTGTTTCTGCAAAAGAAGCCTCAAATGTGTGGTACCGTTTAATTGGAAATCATATTAATAGGCTACTTGTATACAGTGCAATTTATTCTAATAAATAAGGTGAACAGTAGGACAGATTACATTTAAATTGATGCCATTTTCAGTGCGTCAGTTGAACAAATAAGAATGAATAGATGTGTTGTGATGTTACGGTACTACTCACCAATCAGAGCAGGCAATGGGTGTGTACATTTAACAACAACAAACTCCAGCACACAGAACGGAACAATGAAATAAACAAATTATATAAACCTAGCAGTTTGGCAGGTCTGGACGCAGAATGGTCCACATCAGGTCCGGATTCTGCTGACAGAGAGAAACAAACATGAGCACATCGCTCTCAAACGCTGCCAGGTTGTTCACCAGTCAAGAGCTGTGGATCAACAGCACTGCTCTGCTGATAAATAAAAAGGAAAAGTTACGTTATGTTCTCTGGTGGACCCAGATCAGCTGTTGGCTCTAAACACACCACAGGGCTAACGCTAACGTTGCTATATGGCCGCGTTTTAATGGTTTAATGACCCGGTATGTTTGTTTTGGCGAGGAGACGACCTTGGTGGTAATTCGGCTCCCAGTAGAACCCTGTCAGGGCACTGAAGTGGAGCGGACCCAGAACAACTCTCATCAGCTGTTAGCTGTAAACACTAGCAGGACTAAAGTTACGGTATGGCTGTGTTATAACTACAGCACAACACCACTGCGCTGTAATAACGTTATGCTTTATTAAATGTCACATAATAACAAAATAGATACTGTCAGTCCAGCGACTGTTACCTAACAACAGACTTGCCTCTCATTCTCCAGCACTGGCAGTTACTCAGAACTACAGACTCCGAGGAGGACCCATAATAATTAATAAGAGGCGTTTCGCACAAAGAATATATCATTTTTAAATAGTATTGGAATGAGACCCGCGAGCAACCACATCATGCATTTAGGCAACATGCACGCAAAACTCTGCACAAGACCAGTGAATGGCAGGTGACCAGAGAGAAAATTATTTGACAATAAGCCTCAGTTTAGTTGGAAATGTAGCTAATGAATAGGGACTGCACCTCTGCAGCTTCTCAAGATTAAAGTGGAGCTACCGTGTGTAGTTTTGAACTTTTGCGCTGAACCCAGCAGCCAGCGCAGTGCAAATCACTTATTTTCTGAAAGGGCCTTTATGGAAGAACGTAGTCCTCTCAACACCTTCACTGAACATTTAACGTTACATCCTTTTTACCATCAGTCACTGAACATTTAACATTACATCCTTTTTACTGTCAGTCACCGAACATTTAACATTACATCCTTTTTACTGTCAGTCACCGAACATTTAACGTTACAAACTTTTACCTCCTCCTGTCTGTGTTGTTATAGACTTCCAGGACTACCAATTACCTGCATTTCAGTTATTAATAACACTGCACATCATTTTCACTAAAACTTAAACGTATGGATGAGAGTTGATGACGATAACAGTTCAGTTTATTCCCCTCCTCAATAACAATTTCCCCTGGGGGATAAATTTAAATTAAAGTTAATATTTGCTTTGTATTAATAATAATAAATATTATAGACGTTTAATTGTTAATGTAATTAAATATTAAAAATCAACTTCATGTACTCTTGCTGCTTGTTGTTTACCTCGCTAACTTTGAAACTGCCAACTTCGCTCCAAGCATAAACACTTCATTATTAATTGTTAATTTTTCTGTCATTGTTTGACATGGCATATATGTTACTTCTTCTGCTGCATTTTCCTGGTGGTCGATGGGTGGCTGAGGCTCAGGAGTTGGAAAGGTCCAGTAAGTGCAGGGTTTACAGTTCCTGGCTTCTCCTGTCCACATGCAGTGTCCTTGAACAAGACATTTAACCCCAGTTGCTCCCAGTGGTTAGCCTAGCGCCATGCAAGGCAACTCCACTGCGTGTGTGAATGAGAGGCAAATTATATACTAGATGCAGCCCGTTTACGAAAATGCTCTAACAGTTTCATTTAAACCGTGCATAGTTTTTCTTTTGTAGTATAAGCCCAGAATTTGAATATAATAATGTATTTGTTTATTATTTAATCATTAACAGAGGTTTGGAAAAACTGGACTTTATGGGGATTTAAAAGGTCGTTTTGAGTATTGATGTGCTTGTAAACAGGGTAGAGTATGAATTTAATAATGATGTGAAATTATTTTGTGTTATCAGGTCAGGAAGACAACTAAGCGAGGTCTTTGTCCAGTTACCATCCAGGAAGGAGCTCCCAGAGTATTACGAGCTAATCAGAAAACCCGTGGACTTCAAAAAGATCAAGGTCTGTAAACAGTTATTAACCCGAGGGATAATGATGATAGTGGGATCAAAGAGCATAGTAAAATATCTGCAAGCTTTAATTTGATAATTCTAGTGAAGAAATTGAGGCAGAATGAGCAGACAGTCAAACAATAAATATTATTTTATAGTAATAACAAATTCATGCTGTATTTTGGCAGCCAGCAGTTTTGTTTAGTTGATTGTTAGAAAATAAATCTATTGTCAAAATGTATTAGTTGTTTCAGGTTCTCTGGCTCCAGCTTCTCAAATGTGAATGTTTGCTGGTTTCTGGTTTATGAATTTAAACTAAATATTTTGTTGTTTGAACTGAGAAACAAACAAGCAATTTAAAGAGTTTGGATATTTGGGCTTTTTGAAATTGTGATGACCATTTTAATTTTTTTTATTTATTTCACTATTTTTTGACATTTTATGACCAATCAATTGATTGATTGGTCAAGAAAATAAACAACACACTAACCGATAGTATGCATAGTATTACCGAACAGTAATCTTCACACAGTAATCAAGTGTCATGTAGAAAGCGTTACATAATTTTAGAGTTTTGAGAAAGTAAGGAAAGACATTGTCAGCTGGATATCACATTAGTTGTGACTTGTGTTTTTCTGTCAACAGGATCGTGTGAGAAACCATAAATACAGGAATGTGGGCGACCTGGAGAAGGATGTGATGCTGCTTTGTCACAACGCCCAGACCTTCAACCTGGAGGGATCCCAGGTCAGAAACCTCCTGTGTGGCTCTTTCCTTGACACTGGACAAGAAATGTTGTTTTCCTTCTTTTTACAGACTGAGGCAAAAAGAAGCACTGTTTCATTTTTTTGTAGCAAATTCCTAAGGTTTGAATGGCCTCTTGCTATAGTCAAAGAGTAGGCATCAATTAAGAATAAGTGCTACTTACTCTATTTGTAGCCCCCTCCTAGCTGTTTTACACTTCTCCCATTTCTTTCTAATTAATGCTTCATCTCTTCTCTTTTATTATCCATATCCACCTTTTGCGCGGCAAGTCCTGTTCAAGGAACTTGTTTATACATCCAGTCGGGTCTTCTATTTCTTTTCGCCCACAGATATACGAGGACTCCATTGTCCTTCAGTCTGTGTTCAAGAGTGCCAGACAGAAGATTGCCAAGGACGAAGAGAGTGAAGATGACAGCGATGAGGATGACGAGGAAGAGTCAGAGGCAGAGGGTAAGACACCATTTCTAGGACGTGCATGCAAATAAACACACACACACCCACACGTGTCATCACATTCAAATTCTACTCTATAAACCCAGTGAATGCTGTTCTGGTTTGACATTCACTCCACCATCTCTATGTACCATTGTTGCTTTCAAACTGTAGCACAGAATCAATATATAATGTAACTATGTATAATGTAAGAAAAGGAATGACGTATATAATTGTAATTGCAGGACTACTGCATGAAAATTCATTCTTGAGTTTCATGCAGTAGGTCCTGTCCTTCATAGCTTTTTCTGGAACTTTCAACTCATCTTTCACAGCAGAGGAAAACTGGTTTGACATGAAGACTACAGACGTGTACCAATGGTTTTCTGAGCAGTTTTACTCACCTGCTGCAGTGCCATCCTGTCCTGGGATACTATTAAATTAACATATTCTTTTTTATTTAATGTTAGAATATTATACTAATACATACATACACTAGTGACACATCCAGCTTGTGGATAGTGTACCTGCAGTGGACAGAGGTAGATTTAGTTTGGAATCACAGAGCAATTGTGTCAATATGTGCTGCTTCAAGCCGTCTCCTCCTGATAGCAACACGCTCCCCTTGTTCTATTTTCATTATCATGTTCAGTATTCTTGTTTACATAAAGTGTGGCGTGGCCTGTGTGGGTGCTGCTGGTGTATTGTGTATCTATCCCTGGTTCAAAAAGTTGAAACCTCCACAAGCCACAATGCTCCAATCACCTCCAATGCACATCATAATTACACACAAGGAGAAGGAGCAGACACACACACACACACAAACAATATAAATATGTATGTAATAAATTCCTTGTTTAAAAAAAACTCTGTTAGTTAAACATTTTTCATTGTGCTCCAAAATGTTTTAATTTAGGAACAAATGTGCTCCTTGGGAAAGAAGTTAGTGTAGAGCCCTGTTCCCAGAGCTCAAAGTTAACAAGTTAACAAGTATTATTTTCCGACCAACAGTCGAAAACCCAAAGATGAGTTTACAATGATATAAAATACTTTCATTTGAGAAGCTGATTTTTTAATTTAAACAATTAATGTTTTTCAAAATAATCAGATGAATTTGTCTTTCAATGACTTGTTGTTTCATCTCTAAGGCCACAAATTAAGTCAGAATTTCTATGGCAGTCATAAACAGGTGATTCAGATATAATCACATACATACTTTATGTTTACTGACTCGGCGAGCAATGAGAAAACCAGTTGTGTAAGACTTGTTTGGTGGGAACTTAATTCACTCCTACTTTCCCCTTGTGCTTCATTCAGCCAAGTCGGTGCGGGTTAAGATCAAGTTGAGTAAGGAGGCGCGCAGCCATGACAAAGGCAAGAAGAGACAAAGCCGAGGGAAGGCCAAGCCGGTGGTGAGCGACGACGACAGCGACGAAGATCTCGATGACAATGTAGGTCTATCCAATTCAGCACATTTGTTTCAAACTTTCGAGCAGGTCTCCACGTGAATATATTTCTGACCGGGCAAATTGGAGAAATAAATTCACATGGAAAAGAGGAAAAGACACTAACATATATTACAACTATCAAATAATATATATAAAATTATTGGCTAACACATCTTAAGAAAGCTCACTGTAGCAGCTTATCACTAATGTTTTTTGTTTTTGTTTTTCATGGAACATGACAAATAGCGTGTTGACACAATGGAGCTCAATTCTGGTCATCATGATGAAAAGTCCCGGTGGTTTCCTTTCAGCCGTCTAATCGGCAACTGTTTCACACCTGTAGGTGCAGGCAAATTAAATTGTTGAAAACAGCAGTACTCTGAGTGATCCCAAAGATTTACAGTGAAACAAAACATCGGGTTTGTGCCAAAGAATCTCAGCAGTAAGTAATTTCCGGTTTGAAGCATATGAATTGTGATCAAGGTATTTCTTGCCAACATATATTTCTTTCACAAAGATAAGTGACTGCCGGAACCTTGTTTGTTTGGCTTTGCTTTGTTTTTTGAAGACTACAGAGGCCTCCCACAAACTCCAACAGAAATGCAATTAGGGCTGCAACTAAGGACTTTTTTAATAATCAATTTATCTCTCAAAATTTCTTCTATACATATATAATTGGACTAATCAAGTTAATTGTTTAGTTTCTAGCATTGAGTAAAAACAGTAATGGGGGAAATTAAATCCATGGCAACCACCGCTAATGTACCAATTTTCATATAATTAGCACCGCTTTTCCCATTCGTCATGCGCGTGAAAGTGCTACTGCACTGATTTGTCCGTACACACATCAGAGAGTTTAAAGTTTATCTGATAAAAGCAAACTACACAAATGTAATATTTTCCTATATTCTCACTAAATTCTGTTTTAATTTTACACACAAAATAATGATGCTACTTGTCACTTACTGTAGTTGCCTGATCTCCGTCAAACAGGTGACACATGACACTTATTCTTCACACAAGTGTTGTAGTCAAGACCGCCCAAACTGAGACGAGGGGCCTTTCTCAATCTGTGTTCTTGTCTGTACTTGTGTTCTTGTGAAACGTCATCTTTTGTGGCACAAGTACTGTCCCAATACACAAGTTTGCATTTTGGCAAGAACTGTTAAAAATCCCGAAGTGTTCTTGACACATCCATTTTACCAAGGATGCATCGGTTGGTAACTTGTGTGAATTTGACGGCACAGATATCCCAGCATTCATTTCGGCATTCAAGCGAGGTTTGAGGCGAGAAATCAACTGTGTAGATGTCGACTATTGGCAGTTTTACTAAAAATGATGGCGAATCTAAAATGTCTTTTTCTGTCATTACATTCTGAGTAATTTTGTAAGATTTTAACTTAAATCAAGAGACATCTGGATGATGTACAGAAAAATGGTGATGTAAAATAAATCTGGTCTTGTGAAACTTCAGAAAAATGATCAGAAATAGTATGAAAGGGGACTGTCTTTTCTTTATTATTATTAATATTAGACATTACATTGTTAGTGTACAGTAGAGTTGTGGTCACAGTATTTGCTTTTATTATATATACATTTTGTGTGAAATATATCTTGGTAAGTAAAAACCTACACTAAATCCAATTCTGAGCTCTTTGTTTTGGGGGATGAAGCCTGGCTGTTGCAATGCATGCAGCCTCTGTGCTGGGGGTATTGCGCAATACCAGCAAGAACGCATCGTCTCAAACCATCAGCAGCGTTGTGTGCTCGTGACATTGCAAGTTCGTCCTTCTAAGAACGACTAGCAAGAATGTTCTCCCCAAGAACACAAGTACATTCTTTGCATCCTTGGTTTTGAGAAACACCCCAAGTCAAGACCAAGCCCAGAGTTTATCGAGACCGAGACAAGACCAAGACTTTTAGGGGCTGAGAACAAGACCGAGATCGAGCGAGGGCGAGACTGATTCAAGACCAAGACCAGTTCCCCACATTACATGACACACAATAAAATGTGGAACGAGATCATAGGTACTTCTCAAATTGATCTGAAAGATCGACATTTCCAATAAAACACCGACATACAAACACTGAAAGAGCTGAAATCAACGTAAGCATCTTTATTCAACACTCCTTTTCCAAGCTTAGCCTACCATCGCGGGGACAGTCCTTAACAGTAACAACGCATTTTTATTATTTAATCAAAGTTAGGATGTTAAATCAGACAATGGAAAAGCAATTTGTTGATATTCCCAAAGGTATGGTCTTGACTGGTCTTGAAATAAAATCCCGAGTCCTCAATGTCCGAGGCCGAGACAAGACCGAGACCACCAAAAAGTGGCCTTAAGACCGGTCTTGAGACCAAGACCGTTATAAATTATTATTACCAGGGAGTCAGGGAGATTCTTTGGATTCACAGTGACATTGTGGCCTTTTGTTTCTCTGTCCAGTGCATAGTGTTGTTTGGTACCAGTTTTAGGCATTTCGATTCTGCATGTCAGTTCCTAACTTTTTACACATTTCAGTCGTGCTCCAGATTAAACTGCAGAGAGCATTTTACAGTCCATAAAAGTTAACCTTTTATACTGAAGGTAAATCAATGATGTCTATAAATTATTCTCCTATATTTTTTCTTAGATTCCCTAGAGACGCCCCTCTAGTACAGGAACTCACAAACAACACAGCCCCCCTCGACAGAAAATGCAGGACTGTTTTCAGTCTGAATCATCGGTAATGCAGAAACGTAAATCTAGTTAAAGAGCAAGACAAGTACATTTGGTGTCATTAAAAGGATATTAAATCTATAGGGATCAGAAGTTGTTTCTCCTCCATCAGATTTTGATCAGTATTCAGTGCAAGTAGGCAGCTGGGGGAAGGTTTTTATTCATGCCAACAGTGATCCTGAACCGTAGGTTGTTTTGAGGTTAATATAAACAGCTCTGCCAAAATAAGACCTTCACCAGAGCGTGCCCAAAAGCCACGTTGACACTGTGAATACAAATGTAGTGAGTGATTTCCTCAGCTGTCTTATCAGTCATGGTGGAATCTTACTGTGCATTGAATTCAAAGCAAAGTGTTTTTCTCTCTTTATCTCTCACCCCACTTGCAACAAAACCACAGATTAAAAACTGAACTATCCTTCCCGAATTTCCAAAGGGTCTTCGAAAGTCCTCATCCTCCTTCACAGCTCCCCTTCACCACCTTCTGCCCAGAAACTAGATAGACGAGAGGCTTCACCTTCAGACTTTCTTTCCTCTGGAGATCCTTCTTTCTTGTTTCAAGGTGTTGATATAACAAGCTTGTGATGACCTACAGCATCTCTTGTTTATGCTCCAACAGACAATAAACCTTCCTCACACGCCGTTCCCCCTCCCTCCTCTGGCTCTTTGTCTGCCTTTAAATCTCCCTCTCTCTTAATACACTTTTTCTCTCTCTCTCTCTCTCTTTTTCTGCAGGATCAGTCAGACAAGAGCAAGAGTGACGACGACTGAGGGCGTGAGGATATTGTTTATAGCACTTACAAACAAAAAGGACAATATCTTCCATTACTGTTCAGGTTCTGTTTTCTTTTTAATTTTACTTCATTTGTCCTCGAGTGTCTGTAGTATGCACCCCTTCTCCCACCAGCTTGGTAATGTATTACTAATAATTGATAAGCTACAGCAATACCAATCTGCTTATATTCTTGTTTTTAAGACAAATTTGTAGTATATTTTTTAACTCTGTGCTTTAAAGAAGGAAATGAAAAAGGAGAAAAAAAAGATTTGGTCATGCTATATGTGCTTTTGCTTTATTTGTACTTGCTTGCTTGTTGCACTTTTGGAAAATTAAATATATCCATTTCCTTTTTTTTAAACATATATATATATAGCTACGGACATCCAAGGTAATTTGGAGATCCACTTGTGATTTTAAAAAATGGCAATCAATTTTTGGATTCATTGTTTCACCTTGTGCAGTGCCAAATGTTGAAACGTGAGGAAATTGATTGTTCGCTAAACCCCTCCCCTGACCAGCGATTGTCCAGTTATAGCTTAATAAACGTAACTAGTTATGGCAGGCCTGCCAAGCTTTAGTTTTGTTCACATGTAGATGCTAACAGAGTTTAGGCTAACATTAGCGCCTGTGTCCTGTCTCTGCTGGATTTGGGGAAGTTTATGCTGTCAAACTTGGTTAGTTTTCATTCTCAACACCTTTTCTGTTGTAATGTTAAGAGTGAAACTTAATACTCTTTGAAAAGCTAAACAGGGTCAGATTAAATCAGAATAACAGTCTGAATCTCACATTTTTCCTTATCGTACTTACTATAGTGTAGTGCTCTAGCAGTGTAGAGCTAGATACTATGTCTATCTAGCTCTACACTGCAACACAAGAAAAATGCTTCTCCTTTATTTCCACGCCATGGATCAAAACTAGTGAGAATTTTTTGCCTGGGACCTTTTACAAGATTCACGATTTAAAACAAGTCAACTAAAACGGCTTTTTAACCAGCTCATGAAGCTGCAGCTTAATTAGCTGGCCGCCAACGATAGTTGTCATTTTAGCAAAATCGACGGTTGCCGGCTAGAAATGAGAAGTCTGCTTCTGTCCGCCTCTGTCTGAAATAAAAATAAAAAAAATTGTAAGAACTTAAACAGGAAATCTGCCGCCGTTATCATAAAAAACGTTAACGCTTGACAGCAACTGTAACTACAAGGGGCGGGGCTTAGTGAACAGTCAGTTACGAGACAACACGATTTTGAGAGTGTAAACTATTTCTGAAGTCTCAATATCTTATAGCCAGCACAACAAAATGTCAGTTGTTGCTCGATGACTTACAATTTAATTTGAAATACCATGAATGCTGAATGTGTTTTCAAACTGCTTTTATTAAGAAAAATGTAACCGTACATTATGTAGGCGGCACATCATTTAGAGAAGTCCATGTGTTTCATGTATCCTTCTAATTTTCAGTTGTTGCGTATCAGAGCAGAAGCTTTGAACTTTGTAATACTTTTCTCACTCAGAATCAATTGTTTGGGTTATTTGGATGGAGAGGCAGCAGATTTATGGGGAAACACCTTGTCTTGTTGAATAAAACCAGCATCTATCGTAGCAGTAAATGTAGCTTTTTAAAGCATCTGAAAACATGATGCGCCATCCAGATTGTAAAGAACCAAGTCTTAGCTGGATATTTGCAGAGTATCTGAGACGGGAGACAATGGCAAATATTACAAAGAAAACAGTGTTATGGATTTGAATATAACTGTTATAAATATATATAACTGTTTTAAAACAGTGTATTGATTGAAACTTTTGGATTGAGGTGTTTTTGTTCCTGTGTTAGTTTTGAGCCCTCATTTTATTGATTTATATGTTTGTAGCATGAACTCTTTTGGCAATATACTGTGTACATGCAGATATATATCATTTGCTTGCCGACTCTCCATAAGTGTGACTTATCTTTGCTTTCTTTGCACAGTGTCTTTGTGGTTGTATTGAATAGCCCAGGGCAAATAAAATCTCACAGATTTTCAGCACAAAAAATGTTATCTCATTGTTGGTGTTTATTTTTTGCTGGAGACCATTTCTACCATCTGTTAGTGTTGGTATGTGTGATGGTTTTATAAATTTTTATTTCATTAAATCTTTTACATTTCATTTAGATTTTTTAGTTTTGGTTTCAAAAGTGTTCAATGGCTGCCACTGACTTTAAAGACAAGATGTTTTTGTCATGACAGATTAAATAATTCAATTCATTAATAGTTAATTCCACTTAAATATAACCTGTTAAATTCCACGTGCTGCTCTTTTGTTGAAAGAATGAGAATTCTGAAAGACTGCGGCAGTGGTTGCTCTCATTTTACAGTTGTCCAATTGCTGCTGTTGTCTTTAAAAGTCTTAAATGTAAGTTGATAAAACTTACAGACTTTCTTTTTCAGGTCAGTCTGCCTGAGAGGAAAATTCTCATGCACTGCATACCTCACACACTGATAACGTAATGAGTTATGAGTTCACGCTTCCAACTCTTCAAAGAAGCAGCACATCAGTTAGTATGGACTAACACCTGAGTTATACTGTGTGGGCTGAAAGGTCTGTTCACAATACATCCATGGATACACAACGTTGGCCACATGGGTCCCGAATACAAGCCAGCATTAATAATGCTGCCCAACAAACAAAACTTAAGGATAACTATAATAAATAAAACAGTCTGACACTCAAACTACATCCTATATTTTTATTGTCAACAATGTGCTTCTCGATACTTTGCCTTCTCTACCCTGTCTGTAGCACTTCGTACTCAAGCCAGCTAGTCCCTAATAAAGTTATAACCCTTCAAAAACATTTCTATGCATTTGTTGGACTATTTTCAGCTGAAGTTTAACACGTTACACATTTGGTACTATAGTGAGTATGTAGGACTAAGTCGAAATAAACTGCAGTGTGTGTGTCTCATGGTGATGAAGGAACATGTCCCAGAGTGCAACAGTGCAGCTCATTGATGAGTTGTTTTGACAATAATGCAGCTCTATGGCCCAGAGGGATGACATATACCACGCTTTGGCTTGTTAGTAGGATCAAAGAATAATCAGCCATTATCCTAATTCACACTGTAACCTTTCCCTATAATCTCATAAAACTGAAAGTATGACTTGTGAATTACTCCACAAGTTATTGTATAAATACATCAGTTATTGGACATCTGACAACATTTCCTACCTACGATACATCTTTTTTGCTCTCTGGTGTATAATGAGCGTTACGGTTGCTAGCATGGCTACAGAAGGTTATGTTTAGACTTGTTTCTCTCGACCTGAGGCGAGTATGGCAAGTATGTATTCCCTTCACAGTCTGTTTGTTTACTGCGTATCATACTGTATACTGCCATTCCTGTGAGAAGAGTCTGGTAAAACAAAACCTGATGGAGAGGCCCAGAGCAAGGAGGAATCATGGAAACAGAAAATGATTTCATCTGGGACGCACCATGTTGTTATTTTGCTCGAGGTCATCGGAGTCGGGAGTGTGTGATGTAAACTGTGGCCAACTCTAATGTTCATGGAAAAATGGGCCCAGAAACTTGTCAGGGGCCGGGCAGCTCTGCTGATACAACACATTACAGAAGCTAAAGACGCTCTAAATCCCATTTCACTGTGATTTTAAAGTGAAACTGAAATAAACCATTATGATGCTAAAGAATTTTTCAACTTTTCAAATGAGGAATCAACGGCTTTAACCCGCTTCCTGTGATAACAAACTTGAATTATAATCTAATTAAATACATAACTTCACGACAATCTGAGACACATGGGATTGTCAAAGTGAAATTTCAGCAAGAAATCTGTGGGCTGACGGCGTCAAATCACTTTCACGTCTGCTGGACTAAATTTTATTGAAAAGTTTTTGTTTTATAAATTGTCTTTCTCAATGGCATTTCAAGATTTGCAGTGAAATACCACCACAGTAATGGCTGTATTTTACTTCTGCCTACAATGCAGAGTGGTCTATACAAGCATTTTCCCAAACTCCTCCAAGAGTAACTCTTGTCCTGTTTTAGATCTCTTTAAACAATCAGCTTGTTATCAGGCAGCTTCAGGAGTTCAGTATGAGTTGATCATTTGATTCAGCTGTGTTAGAACAGGGAGAGATCTCAGACATACAGGACAAGGGGTACTCCAGGAGAGGATTGGGGAAAAGTAACAAAGTGTAAAATCTTGCTTTTTACTTTATTCATATTTACTCGTAAGGAGTTTTATCACGTACAGCACACCTGTTTTAACCACTGTAGTGACTCAGTGAAGTGACTCATACTGTATTTCATGGCATCACGACTGTATTGTGCAGCTCAGACACTGGAGGGCCGTCACATTGTACAGCTGGCCCGACCCTTGCACTCTGCAGCACATCAAAACAGCTTTCCTTTTTGTATTCCTGCCATTTTAAACAGAGCCTCACTAAGTCAATTCCCCCTGAAGAATGACCATCCATTGGCTCCTTTTTATCTCCCTCTTTGAAGTGCCGAGCTTGGGATAGACTTGAGCCCAGGAAGAGAGGGGCAAATTGGATGTTAATCCTTGTCTGAGTGCCAGAGATGTCAGCTGGAAAAAGTCAGGTGCCAGTGCGATTTCTGCTATTCCTCTGTAGCTTTTGTCCAGAATCATCACATTCTCCAAGCAGCAGATGCAGGTCCTTCCAATCGCAAACTGATTCAGGGAATTTTCCTTCCTACTGACTCATGAATGGTGATATGAAAGGGCCAGGTGCTCTCTATTATTAGAGAATCCAGTATTATCTGGTGTTGTAACCTGTCAACAGTCCAGGCGGGAAACGGGCGCTATCAACGCTAACTCTTGCACAACTTAAAAGGAAGAGCGGGAAAAGGCTTTGTCTCCCTTCGGATTCCGGGGTTCACTATCAGTTTAACGCATGATCGAGGAAAAGGCTCATTTATCTTTGCAACGCTGAGTCCTGGTAAGTTGAAAGGCTAAATCACAGACACAAGGACAATGGGGGTTTCATGCACAAACAGGACATATACACTAAAAGCATGCACCTGGTTCCTTTACCAAAGTTTTTATTAGGGCTGCAAACATAGTGTATATAAAAAGGCTGCAACAAACAGTTGTTTATCATCGACGAATGTGACTTTTCCCCAACTAATCACCTTGTCTGTAAAATGTCTAAAAATAAGGAAATGTCCATCACAAGCTTCCAAAGCCCATTGTGATGTCTTCAAACTGCTTTTGTCCCCAACCAACAGTCCAAACTCCAAATATGTTCAATTTACAAAGATATAAACAGAAAGAAGTAGGAAATTCTTACATTTGCCAATTTTCCTTGATAAATAACTTAATTGTCAAAATTATTAGCTGATCACTTTCTGTTAGTTGACTAGGAAATGTTTCAGCATTAGTTTATATATAAAGCAAACTGCACTAGCCTGAGAATGATACCGCATGTTCTTTCTATTGGTTCGGATGCAGGGATGTAATTCCACATTGTCTGACTTCTCTTTACACACTTGTCCCCACTTCTCTCATCAGCCCTGCAGTTACCTGACCTGCGTTGCTCACCTGTTTCCACTCCACTTGCCAGATTGTCCTATGTTGCTCAGTTGTTTCACACAATTACTTTCAAACCTGTCACCTGTACCTACCTGATTAATTGGACTGTTCCTCGTTGAGTCTCTCTGACTTTGACCATTCTGTAAGGCTGAACTGCATCTACTCTGTTATCTGCATTTCGGTCCAGCGCATATTGCTCTACCCATAACAGCTGTGAAGTACAGATAAAAAGAAATAGAAAACATCTATACCTGG